CTAATCTTAAAGTACATGAAGAATCTCATAATGGGGAGATTATGAGATGTAAACAATGTGGAAAAGCCTTCAGTTGTTCCAGTTCCCTTCAAAAACATGAACAAACTTATGCTGGAGAGAACCCTAATCAATGTGAACAAGATGGGAAAGCCTTTGTTATATCCTCTAAGCTATACACACCCGAACAAACACATAGAGGAAAGAAGCTATATGAATGTAAACAATGTGGAAAAGCCTTCACTAGTTCTTCTTATCTTCAGATTCATAAACGAACTCATACAGGAGAGAAGCTCAATGAATGTAAACAATGTGGTAAAGCCTACACTACTTCATCTTACCTTCAAAGACATGAACGAACTCATACAGGATTGAAGCCCTATGAATGTAAGCAGTGTGGCAAAGCCTTCACTCAGTCCAGTCACCTTCAAATACATAAAAGAACTCATGCAGTAAAGAAGCCCTATGAATGTAAACAATGTGGAAAATCCCTCTGTAGTTTTTCTTACCTTCAAATACATGAACGAACTCATACTGGAGAAAAGCCCTATAAATGTAAACAATGTGGGAAAGCCTTTGCTTCATCCAGTGACCTTCATGCACATGAACGAACTCATACAGGAACAAAGCCCTATGAATGTAAACAATGTGGGAAAACTTTTACTAGTTCCTCTTACCTTCAAATACATAAACGAACTCATACTGGAGAGAAGCCCTATAAATGTAAGCAGTGTGGGAAAGCCTTCACACAGTCCAGTCAGCTTCACACACATGAACGAACTCATACAGGAGAGAAGCCCTATGAATGCAAACAATGTGGAAAAGCCTTCACTACTTACTCTCACCTTCTAATACATGAACGAACTCATTCTGGAGAGAAGCCCTATGAATGCAAACAATGTGGAAAAACCTTTACTACTTCCTCTTACCTTCAAATACATGAACGAACACATACGGGAGAGAATCCCTATCAATGTGAACAATGTGGGAAAGCCTTTGCTATATCTACTCAGCTTAACACACATATAGCAATTCATACAGGAAAGAAGCCCTATGAATGTAAACATTGTGGGAAAGCCTTCACTTTTTCCAGTCCCCTTAAAGTGCATGAACGAACTCATACTGGAGAGAAGCCCTATGAATGTAAACAATGTGGTAAAGCCTT